TTGTTGATATTTAAGGCTTAATTACGGGCAAGGCCAAGTTGGTCGGCTCGAAAGTTTTCAGTGCCCTGAACTGCAATTGTTGTGCCCGCTTTTTGTCCGGAGACAATTCCCATCCCGGTCGAGATTATTGAAACGTTTTCCTAATCAGGACAGAGTGCTCGGCCGGAGGAAGACGCCCCTCCAGGCCGCAGTAAACTTGACTGCTTGGCTTTAGCAATGCATGGCCCGAAAGGCACATTCGGGACTCTAGCTCTCGTCCTGGAACTGAAAGTCAGACTGGCTGGCCCATCGAGTTGTCGCATTCACTATGACAGCAGCAGGTCAGCCACAGTATTCCTCCATGTCCTGGATAAGGATGCTATTTGATTCTTTTCTCACCGGCAGAAAATACAGCTCCAAAAAATATAATTTGGCTGAAAGGGTTTGGGCAGGTTATATTATGTATTCTGTTTTAAATCTAATATGAGGAATATGATATAATATGTAGGATATGCTGAAATCTTAAAATAATTTATCTTTTTGTAATACATTTTTACAAAATTATAAGTAGTAATATGTGATATAGTGATATAAAACGACAAAGTTATGAAAATTTACCTACTATTTTTCTTTGGTTTCATTTTCAATTGTTATAATAATTGTAATGGAAGACACAGAGAGGTATTAAACTGAGACCTGTTTATGCTGAACTGGAATATTTACAAGAGTATGCTGTCAAAAATTCTTTTTACTTGAACAATAATACCCTTTGCAATGGTTTATCCATAAGGCAGTGGCGTTTTAATTGAAATCATTTATTAATTAGCCAAGGAACAGGCAAACTATCTAATCTGTACTAAACGAAATATTTTTGTTTTTGTGGTAATTTTTTGACGGTGCTGTCACGCGTTGCTATATTCGCTTAGCAAAGTCTGAGGCAGGAATTCATCACATAGAAAGCATTTTTATTCTTCCGCTTTGTCTGCAGCATTATGGCTTGTGATGTGGCTTATTTCGAGTTTTCATTGCTACTTCTACTAATAAACAGTTGAAAAATTTGTAGAGTTTAACTGACATAAGCAACTGGTTTTTAATTAAGGCCCTGCCAATCAGTTCATAATAGATAACATCTACATGCGTAAACGTTGTTAACAAATAATAAAATAAAAAACAATTTAAAGCGTTTGATATTATAAGTAACTTCAGTTATGGGGAAAAATACTGCATTGAGAGTGCGTTTCCTTGTTGGGTGGTGTAATTACGTAGTGAACTGCATACTCCCAAAACCAATAAGCGTAAGTTTAACATTTTCAATGGCGTGCAAAGCAAGCGGAAGGCAAGTTATTGTGCTGCACACACACACAAAGGGAAAAGCCGCGAGGAAAACGAGTTCTCAAGTGGACGACGACCGACCGGGTGGCAAAGTGGAGGTCCTGGTGGACAGACACGGGCTGAAAGAGGACCAGACCAGGAGTGTCAGTAAGGGATAGTAAAACTTACAAGCAAAATGAAAATACAATCGCTGGACGTGCTCTTAACGTGGGCATAACAGCCAGCCGACTTTCAGGAGCTGGCAAGAGCAAACAAAAGGCAAGGATTGCATCAAATGAAGCGCACTGGGTGGACTACAAAAGCTTTCTTCGATATTAGCGCATGCCTGGCATTGTTGCTCCTGTAGCTGCACCACGAGCATCATCATCGTCGGTTTACACACTGCGTATACGCAACGCACGTGCAACAAAAGGAAATTGTTCCTGTGCACTCTGCCGTCGAATTTCAATTAACAAAATCATCCTAATGCCGGCTCGCCCACAGAATAGTTATCTGCCAGGTTGACCCAAGCAGGCAAATGCAGCTGATGCATAACCATGAGCCCAGGTTGAGCTCATCCGTATCCTGTCTGGCTGAAAGGATATATACGTAGAAGGGTGTTGACATTAAAGCTGGCTCCACATTAAACGTCTCGATATTTTCTTGAGGTGCTTTTTGCGACGACAAGTAAATAAACTAAGTAGAAAACTTGACTAACTTTGAATATTGTGAACTTAAACTGTCTGTAAAAACCATAAAAAACGTCTCTTTTGATCTCATCTAGTTTTTGTTCTTGTCTTAAAAAATTACTAAAAAGTTCTTAGTATAATCCAGAGATGTATGAAAATAAGTAGAAAATAAATAACCTAAGGATAAAACTTGACCAACTTAACACAAAACAACATCAACAAAAACTAATGTTTTGGTCTTTAAATAAATCACAACAAAGTTCTTAGTTTAATCCAAAGAAGTAAGAAAATTAGTTTAAGCCCCATTGAAGTTGTAGAAGAAAAATATTTAAATAAACATTTTTGTAGGTAAAGAAAACTAGTTGCAAAGTAAATTATTTTGCGAGCCAATTGTTGAGTCCGTTTTTTTTTGCATTTTGTTCTTATTCCAGCTTTCGTTTCAAGGCACTTCTCAATTACACAAGCTCGCTTACTAATTTTGGTTGGTAAAAAAGGAAAGTTGCCGACTAACTAATTGCACACAATTTTGCACAAGCTCCATTTACTAAAAAATAAAGCAGCTACCTAAACTTTTCTCTCTTTTTGTAACTCTGTTTTCCACACACACACATACACACGTCAGTCAGTCCTTGTAGCAACAACAATTAGAGCCAGGATCACGTTTATACCAACAGCATTTTATTAAAATGCTGGAGTCGCAGTGGCAACAAAATGAGATAGAGTAGCGCGTTTTTAATTTGTGCAACAACGAAGGTGCAAGTGAGTGGGGTATACGGTTGGAGGGAGACAGGGAGACAGGGATTCCAGCCACATTACATAACACACAACACCCGAAAAACAGAGCAATGCGGCGTATACTTAACAACGGCTGGCAGCCGTACCAAAAAACTGGCAACGGACCCCAAGTACGTGTTGCCATAAGTGTTACGTGAGTGTGTGTTTGCTGTTTTTGGGTGGGTGTGCAAAGGGTTCGAGAGTGTGCGGATGACTGTGACCCAAAATCATTAGCAATATGAGCAGCAGTTTGTATTAAAAACAAAGCCAGAGCTAAGGGGAATGGGCTGTGATATGCAAAAAGTTTACTAACGTATTAGGTTGGAAGCAGTACTTGGAATACTCTGTAAAAGTACACTAGAAATTTAAATTTAAGGAAGCAACATCCTTTAAAGGCTATTACAATTTTTGGTTTCAAATAAATTGGTTATTAATATCTCATGGCATTTTTCATAGAATTGTTTCAGGCGGTTAGGAAATTTTACTTACCTTTTTAATTCATTTTGTTAATCCTAAATACATTTTCAATGCATTTTCTTATTAACTCGTTTTTAAATTAAATTAATATGGTAAACATAATAATATGGCAAAGCTCAATATACCTCAAATATCCTTTAGACAGAAATGTCTGCGCTCTTTTATTTTTGGTGGCATGTGTGAGCCGGGCAAAAGGTTAAATTAAATGGCTAAATGATAAGCATTTGGGTTAAATTGCTCCGCCTGGCAAGCCGAAAAACACAAAACGTGAATATATGGCAAACTGAGGGAAGTCGTCCCCTTTTTTATTTGGCCTGAATGGAATGCGTACAGTCGCTTCTAATGTTTTTAATAGCAAAAGTTATAATGAATTTGTTAAAGAGCAAAAGCAGCTGCGGAAGGGGAGTTTCAGTCTTGATTGTTTAGCGTTCTGTTTGCGTTTGCCTTTATTTCCCATCCCCCTGGTTTTTTGTAAATTTTGTTAAGCTCTCCCATTGAAATTATTCCGTGTTTTTTTTGTTTTGTTTTGGTTTGTTAGGTAATCAGGAGCGGCGAGCTTAATTTTTATTTTTAGTGAGCTCGCTTCTGCGGTTAACCTGATGCCGGGGCTGTCAGCATTTTATGTTTATGTGTGCTGTGCATTTTAAACAACTTTTTCTTTTATGTATTGCTGTGTTTGACTTTTATTTTAATCACGCAAAATATTGTGCAAATATTTAATTATGAGCTTGTTAACATTATTTGTGTGAGACCATAATGTGACCAAAGCCTACTGCCTGAATACAGATTAATGTCGTCCTTGGGAATTGTCATCATTAATAAGACTGGAAATATCCTTCAAGTAATAAAAAAGTGCGGGCGAAATAAATGTTTTTCTGTTGGTTTAATTGGTAGACATACTTGTCTTAAATAGGTTTCTAATCTTGTTTATGAAAAGGGAAATTTAAGCTTGTGTCCTTACTTGTGATGTAATCTGGCAAGCCAAAGCTGACTTCAATCAATTTCCAGTCTCGGCTGATGCAGTTTTCTCGCTTGGTTTCATCTTCAAAAACACTTATACCTAGTTTTTTTGTGTATGAACTGAATGGCAAACAAGGTCTTAGAGCTTCCACAACCCAACTTCCGTAGTCCGAGAGATGACAAAGTTTTTCTCTCGGCCTTTCGAGCAAACAACTCGTTAGGCTAATGAAATTTCTTGTGCCTTGGCCAAGATTTGCGCAGGAGTGTCGATGGCCCGCAGCTTATCACAGCTACCGCATCAACGGGCTGCATGGAAAATTCAATTTTCCAACACTAATTGAATGGTTTATTTTGACAAGGTGGCCCCATGTTAGCTGATAACCCCAAAGGGTTTGCCGCAAATACACACCGACACACGAACACTCGCACAGGTGAGTGCAAATTGGAGCAACCAAATTCGTTTTCCTGCATATTGTTTGTGGTGAATTTATAGCCTGGATATCGCATGGCCCCTGCAGCTCTTTTATAACCAAAAATGAAAGTTTTAACTAATATTTACTGACCCATGTAGAGTATATATAAATGTTTTTTTTTAATTTAATACTATTTATTCGGCTATAGATGAGTTTTTGTGGGCTGCAAATTGCAATGTAAAACTTTAATATTTTTCCCCAGGATTAGCTTAAATCTACCCTTTTGTTAAGTGGATTTAAATTTACATCAGTTTTAAGCGAATTTAAATTTTGTTTTCACCCAGTGATGATTAGCTTATGTATATCCAACTAAATTCTGAAAAAAGTTAAGGCATTATTAGGGGCTAGGAACCTTTGCACTTCCAGATTTATTTAAGAGATATCAGGATTACTTTTTGTAGCAGCACCTGCAGGTCTTCTCGGCCTTGAACCAGTAAACTACTTCATGTCGATAGTTCTCGTTGGGCTCAAGAGTAATCGATGGAAACTCCGGGTGATTCATGGCATCGGGGAATTTCTCCGTTTCCACGCAGAAGGATCCGTGCTTCACATATCGAGCGCCCTTCTTGCCAGATATGGTGGACATATTGTTTGCAGTGTAGAACTGCATACCGGGCTGGTCGGTCCACACCTCCATTGCTCGGCCACTGGGCGGATGCACAATCTTGGCCACCTTGACAATGGATCTTTGGGGCCGACCTCCATTGACCACGAAGCAGTTGTCGAAGCCTTTGATCAATCTGTCCTCAAAATGCTTCAGGCGATCGCCCAGCAAGACGGGCGACCTGAGATCGAAGACAGTGTCTGCCACGCCGTTCAAGTTCCCTGTGGGGATCTGCCAATCGTCCGTGTCCACAATCTCGCAGGATGCAATCTCCACCGTGTGCTCCGCCAATCCTTTGGCCCCGGAGGCGTGACCAGCTAGATTGTAGTAGGCGTGGTTCGAGAGGTTGACCACCGTCTGGCGATCGGTGGTGGCCTCGAAGGTGATCGACAATCTATTCTCATTGTCCAGCCGGTAGGTGATCAGGCACGTCAGAGTGCCCGGGTATCCTTCGTGGCCATGTTCCGAGTCGTGCCGGAAGACCACGCCCGCAGGAGTCTTCTGCACCACCTCCCAGATGACGCTGTCGAATCCCACAAATCCGCCGTGTAGTTGGAATCTATCCTGGAATTTAGGAATGGTTTTTGTATTAACAATCAATAAAATATTTAAGTTTCTTTGTTTAAGAATACAAATACGTTCAATCTGGTTTGTAAGGTATAGCGGAGAGGTCTATACGTTGGTACACCTTTTTGGATTATCTTTACTTTTTGATCATCATCTTATAAAAGGAATAGTTTTAAAACATTTGAAATTTATTTAATTTTTAAAATGGTAGCAAAATGTACACATTAATCTCTTATTTTCACTTTTTTTAAATTTTTTTTCCTTTTTTTACTGTTTTGCCAAATCTAGCAATAAAACTGAAACTTACTCTATCCCATTTAAATTTATGTAGGAAATCAGAATCAGCTTAGTCGACTATCAGATATTATCTTTCTTTGCATAAAACTATTTTGCTAAAATTGTAGTTACCAAAAGCAATAAACAAAAAAATATTTATTTCTCTAATTGAAAAAATTTTAAATATTTGATGGTACCAACGAACAGACCTTTGCCCTATTATAAGGTTAAGCCCTTGCAATTAACTGAAAATATTTAGATATTTATTTTACAAAATGTAAAAATAAGGTTTCCTCTACTGCCGCTGCTTTTGATATATCTTAAAGAACTCTCCTTACCGTTTTTTAAAGTTTTAAGTGTCATTATTTACCTCGATGTTCTTTGTCACCTTGATGGTTGTGTCCTCCACGGTATACTCGCCGTTGGCAACCCGGTTTGCCACTCGGCCAAGGGTTCCCCCGATGTAGGCCCCCTTGTTGGCCACGTACCCGGCAATGTCGTCGAAGCCCAGGCACACATCCTCCATCTTCTTGGAGTCGTCCGGCAGAGAAACGCTCTGGATGATGGCACCTAGTTGGATCACCGACACGGACATGCCCTTGGTGTTCTTCAGTGTGAAGCAGCGCACCATTTCTCGGGATTCGGTGAGAGGGTTCACGGCCAGGCCGAAGTTTTTTTCCTCAATGGTGATTGACATTTTGGTGTTTCCTTGTCTGGTTCCTTACCCTAAAAATACTTGACAGGAACTGCCTCTTCGGTCTTATTGAAAATTTGTGAAAATTTCCATAAACCGAATTTGTGGTCAATCCAAATAAAAAACAAATAAGGGCTTGTGACACTTAGTTAAAATATAGCCTGCTGATTTATTTGGGGAAGTAGTATGTTTACAGGAGGTTTATGGCAGAGATTAATTTAATTCTTCATAGATTGATGGAGTGTTACTACTTGCTGATTTTTAATAGATTTTAAATTAATTTTTTTAATAACATTTAAGGGGATAAAATAGGGCTGTAAATAGTGAGTTATATTGATTTTAGTGCTGAAACTTACTGTTTTGACGTCAAGTGCTGTGTAACTTAAGGTAGATACGGTTTTGCAAGTGTTGTAAGGCTTTAAATGTTAGATAATATTCTAATTTCAAGGTCTCTGAAAAATCTCTTTCTGAATGTCCAATCATTTTCCATTGTGTATATAACTCTAACGATTGCTTTGTTTGTGGCGTTTGACTGGTCATGAGCTGTCCCGGAGAACTGAAAATGCGAAGTGCCCCAGTTGGCCATCATTTATGCATGCCAACGTGCTGGCATCGGTTTATCTTTTCGTGTGCTGGTTGTCTGGCTTGTCTGCGGTTGCAGCTGCATCTTCAACTTGTTGTGGCATTAACGAAGTCGTTGATCTTGCTGCATGTGTTGGCAGCTCGGCTCTAATTGAAATATTTTTATTGCCATTTGGCCCGGCCCTCGCCGGTTGGTGGTGTCATTAATATTCATTAGTCGCCGAGCCAAATGCATTAGCAGATTGCAGCAAAACAGTCTGATAAATATGTACAAACAGCTGCAGAGCTGCTGTGCCGGGAGCAATGTGCTAATGCTTTAAACTTGTCCCAGAACAAAGCGTTTTATTTGCGGAAGTCATTAAGTGGTGTGGACGGGGGACACAATGTCTTGGCTCAAATTGCTGGCTCTCCGAAACTCTGTGATTGCGGTTGTGGAGTGGAGCCTTTTTTGTCCATTTTTCGGCTTGCCTTGCGCACAGCGTTACGTATACGCCTAGGAAGCAGATGCGACCGCGCCTTGCAAATTGGTCTTGGTCTTGGTCCTGCGGCCAGGAAATGAAGTTGAAGTCACCAGTATTACCGCAAAAAGGCGACGTTGCATGTTGCAAGTGAATTTGGTTTCCGGCTTAATTTAGCCAACGTTTGCTTCTTTATTTTTGACAGCCATCAGCGGTGGTTTTGTTCTCGGTTTCAAATTCCCTTTGGCGTCTGTTGTATGCAAATTTCGGATACAAGTCAGGACATCAGCTGTAACTCGGCACGAAGTGGCTTTTTGTAAAACATAATGGAAAAGCGATTCTCCAGCGGAAGTCTGACTGCTAATGGAAAGTTTGGAAAATGGTTTTTCAAAAGGAAACTGCCAAAGGCCTGTGGATCTCATGAATATTTATTTCAGAAGAAGCCATCCTGTCATTGCCTTAGAAACATTGGCATTTAGCAATAAAGTTATGGGTAAAACACTTTATGGCTAAATGCGAATGTTTCTATAAAATCAACGCAAAATTTATTTTTGTTTTAAAAATATCCTATTTACTGCAGCCAAATTGTCATAAATAATGTCATGGCATTAGAAACCACCCCCAATATTACCATTAACCCCAACGAGAAGTGACTTTAATTTGCGTGACTGAATATTCAATTAAGCACCTTCATGTATGTAGGCGCTATCTACGCTATCGAAAGCCCTCCAAAACAAACGACCCCGGTCGGCAATTAAATGTTGCCTGGCCGGTGGCTAACAATGCCATGATGTGCCCCACAAACTCACAATGCCACCCATTGGGGCTCATAGTTTGGCCGAATTGGTCGTTCATACATATTGGCGATGTGCAGTCATTTGTTCATTAGCGCAGCGCATAAAACTCATCAAGGGCAATTAACATTAACGCAGGCAATCAGCGAGTTGGACCAGCTTTCAGTTCGTCCTTGTCGGAGTGCCTTGGGCGCCTTGTGGGGTGGCTATCTGGCCTTCTCCCAGGACATTAATTATCTTATTGGCCTACATCCCGCTCACCGCAGCATCCGCATCCCATCCAGGCCGAAGTGGCAATATTTGAAAGTCTATTAAACGCTCAGCGCCGGCAATCAATGCTGGCAGGGCCACAAATATTGCCCATCTGCTTTTATATCTACACACATTCTTCATTCCCTTTCCCCCATCGCATGTCCTGTGCCGCAGGATGAGGCGAAATTATTGAACATGATATTGAATATGAAGCCGGGCCCGTGGCTTCGAGCGGCGATTGTCCAGCGGAACGGACCGAAATCAAAGCCACAAAAGAAATCCCAGTTTGCATATTAACAGCAGCTGGTGCTCGGCCAAAAATTGAATAGGAGGTGGGTTTGTTGGCCATTGCCGGTGGTGGGGGCGGGAGAATGGGGCGTGGTTCGGCTCGGGAATAAAGTCCTGCACATCCTTTGTCAAGCTGAAAATGCAAATTGCCATGACATGCCCTTAACCATTTACCACACGGCGCCCGGCCATCGAGTTCTATTTTTTTTACCCCCGGCCGTTTTCTTCTCCTGGCTTTCTGTACTTGCTCGTCGGCCACTTCAGGCCAACTGCCTGGCTGGCATAAAGCAAAACGCAAAAAGAAATCAGCAATGGACATGCAAAGCAATTGGGAAAATGCATTTCGGAACGGACTAAGTGGATACCCCTTGGGCTGGAAAACAAAGCACACGAAATAAACGAACTTTCAATTTTATTTGCCATTTTATGTTGATAGATTGATTTAAGAAGGCATTCCTGTTCTTAACTTTGTCTTAGTTTGTATTCTTACGCTATTCAAGATCAATGGTGTATTTCAATACCGAATGTAGCTCTAGAAATATTTGAGGTCGAGCAGAACAATTTGCCTGTTTTGCTGCAACTTGTATTGCTTAAAATTAACATTTTAAAAATAAACAATAAAACAAAAATTAAATTCGGAAAATCATTTTTTGTAATAAAAATATATATGTTGAGACCAAAGAACGTTAACCGCCTTAAATATTTGTACGTTTTTTAAGATCAGCTCTGAGTATGTTAAAATACCTGATTAATTAAATCCGATGTGCATGTTAGGAATACGGAAAATAGTTTATTTATTAAAGTGTACGGTTTCGCTGACACAATATTAGTTGTTCAAAACGGAAAATATAAATAATAGTCTTAAAAATATTTATTTGCTTTATAGTAATGTTAATAAAATCATTGTATAAGGTTACAACAAAATCAGAAATGATTTTTTTTAAATACTTAATATATATATATATATATATTTATTAAAATTTTCTTTTAATTTCATCGATAGACCTCATGATACCCAGCAGTGACTACAAGGTATGCAGAAAGTTTGCAAGCAAAGAAAACGCTCTTTGCAAAAAACATGAGCCAATTCTCCAGAGCTTTTTGACCATACGTCTGCGGTTAAGTTTGCCCCAGCCAGGACCATTCAACCCATCCATTCAAGGCTGTGGATCCTTCGACCCCCTCCCCCCGCAAGAAAACCACTCAGGGGAAGGACGAGGAGGAGCGAAAAAAAGCCAAGCCACACAAATTGTTTGGGACGTCGCCGGCATCGCTGCGTGAACCCATGCAAATTTCTCCCTCAGGTCACCTTTGTGCTTTGATTGATTGATGGACAGCAGGAGTGCGGAGTGGCCGTGGTCATCATTTCGCCAGCTTTCTCCTGCGCCGAGGAACTCCAATATTGAATTTAATTTGTAGTCACGCGTAGTCGAGAGCTGCGTATGCAAATTCCATTTTTACCCTCCGCAAATTGAAAACAAAGGTGCACTACTGGGCAGGAGGCTTTGGTTTTGATTGCGGGCATTAACAACTTTTGACATTGTTATACATTTCTGGGGAAATCAAAGGAAAAGGTAAGTCCCGTCCCGAATGAGACCCAAAATCAATCCGCAGAGCGACCCCAACCTTTACCCCTGCCAGATTCAATCAAACTGTCAGCCTGGAATTGGGGGAAAGTGCGGACACCGCTTTCCTGGCCGGCGAAATTTATTGTCAAAATTAATTAAAAATTGTAATGAGTTCTGTTTTGCTGGACGGGCCAAATCCGACTCGACTTAAACACATTGACGGCGATTAATTTGTTTGGCATTTCGCAATTTGATTTAAAATTAAGCCAAACACCGGCGTGAATTTCAATTAGATACGCGTTTCGGATTTCGGTTTGTTGGACATCGGTCTTGGCCATTTCATGCCAATTTGATTGGCCTGTCAGCGGGTGAAAATTTAGCTCTTCAACTGGCAATTGGTGATTTTATTTACCGCTCGCTCTGCCACCATTTCGAATTTAAATTGTTTCGGCCCGGTTGTCCAAAATCGATTTAAGGCCAAATTGCGCAAAAAAGTGTGGCGCAAATCAATGGCTAAATATTGCAAAATATTTCCAGTGCAATGTGCCAAAATAAGTGCGACTGCAGTTGGCCTGTCACATGGCCCAAATGAAAAGCCATTTACATGGCTGTTCACTTGTACACTTGTCCCAGTTTCCCACTCGAAGAGCTCACTTGATATGCAATACATTTTTTTTGTCCTTATATTCACAGGACTCCTGCAGGACAAGTGCAAAATCGTGTTAAGTTAGAGGGCAGTGCGGAATGCCTATAGAACAAAAACAATTTCATCTGCCTGTGCATATGCATATGAACCGAAATATGAATTCCGGCATGGGAACATGGCATATGAAAATGTACAATTTCGGGCTCCCGGGGAGAAGGTGGGGGAGAATATTGACAGCGCAAGAAAAGGGAATTGTTTTCGGAATGACAATTTACAGATTTCCCTCGTATTCCGGAGAAAGTACTGCATTGTTGCCCTGAAACTTGGAATTTGAATTTCATGTGGGCGGTCACCCAAAACGTTGCATACATTCATTGAAGGCCCTCGCTTTGTGCCATTTAAAGACTGCCCTCACAAATGAAAGAATGTCTGTTTTTTTGCAAAAATTGTTTTATAATACGTTTTTACTAGCAAGAAATGCTTTGACATTGAAATGAGCAAAAGTAGTAGAGAAATTTGCATAACTTATATACCCTGGTAAC